CCCAGACATTTAGATACCTTTCTAAGTCAACATTGCCACCCTCCAGAGGTACAGCAACAATTCCATGACAAAGGTCCAGAGGACTTATTTCCTCCACCTGACAGATGTGGAAACTGAGGGTAAGTAACATGCTTGAGGACATGTAGCTAGTAAGTGGTGCTGGAGCTTCTGGTTCAATATCAATATTTTTCTTACTACACCAAGTTACCAAGTTACCAAAAGGCGGGGTGGGGGGGGAGTACTTAACTATGAAAGTGTTGGACTACAGTGTGGTTGGAACAGTTCAAGGGTGCCAGTTGGACACTGTGGACAACTCTGGCCAGTGGCAGGTAGCAGGCTGGAGCAGGCAGCCAGCTATGTGGTAGGACATTATGGAATAAACAAAGATCACCCAAGTGAGAACGAAAAGGGCTATTCAGAGCTTGCCATAGCAAGGGAGAGAGCCGCTATGATCTGAGTTGGCTGAAATTCAAAGGCGGGCAGGACAGTGGCAAAGCTTTCTAGTGAAAAGAAGGGAAGGCTTCTCATATGCCCTGACTGGAGGCTTTTGGCATGGGGAAGTTGGACTGGGCTAACTAGAAATGAGACATTCTATGTGATAGGTATGCAGGACCCATTTGGCTTTCTGTGGCTATTCCTAAGTTGGAAGTATGTCGGGAGTGGGGGGAATGGGTATATAGGGAATATAAAATATAAATATAAAGATAGGGAATCTTGCAGGTGAGATTGATCAGATCACAACTGTTCTGGGATGATTGCTGAGAAGTTGTGGTTTGGCTTCCTGGGTGGGGACTATAAAGGTTGTGGGTCAGAGTTCTATCTGTCATAGATGGTCTGGCCATTGTCCATTTGTATATTCAGTCTGACAAAATAAGGAATGACAAAGTTGTCCTAACTGAAAAACCTACTGAAGTGGCTAAAATGTCCATTATCAACATTTTTTTAAAAACTAAAGAATTTCCTGACGCTCTTATGTCTTTCTCCATGGGTTTATTGTACTGTAATTCTGGAGATTTTCAACCTCAGTCCCAATAGGGTTTTTATGATCTGACTGATTCTGTAACTTTCATTGTCATGAATCAGAAAGCAGTTTCCTGTGTAGGGGAGCAACTAGTTCAGATTAAAAGTTGTGTTTGGTAGGATGGGGGCATAGAGCCTAAGGTCCTGAGGCTGTGCTCAGTCTGCTGAGACTAAGCTGGGGGTTGGAGGAGGGCATGCAAGAGTTGGCACCCCCAAGATTAAATGGGGTGGAAGTGAAGGAGCGTCCGAGATATTTTTTAACCAGTGTCCTCTGTTCAGAACACCTTTGCAACCAATCAGTTTTTTCATTCCCTCATGCAATGCCCCGCCATGACTTCTTAAAAATTAGTTGTTTTAATAACAAAAGTGAAATATATGCTCACTGGGAGAAGAAGTATCCTGCTCAGAAGTACATTAATTTAAAAAGGAAAGGTGCTGTCGACCCCCCTTCCCACCCCAGAGGTAACTATTGTGAGAGAAATCAGCTATCTTCACATAGGAAGTCACTTAGAAGTGAATCTTCTTCCCTCACCTTATCCAAAAGATCAGAAAAAAACGTGCAAGAGGTTTCAGATTTGGCAGACGTCCCCCTGCCCCAAGGCATGGTTGCCATTTCATTTCTTTGGTTGCTTTGGAGTCCAGATTCAAATTTCTGAATAAGACTACCCACTTCTCTCTCATGTCCCTTTATCAAATCACCATTTGTCTCAGTGCCCTGCTGGACTGTGGCAATGCCCAGAGTGTTGTGTGAACTGTCAGTTTCTGAGGCTCAGCAGTCTGTGAGGACATAGCTGATATGTGTGCTCCCGCGCTTGCACATTGGCAACTGGGAAGTTTGACATTCTTTTTACAAATTTTCGAGGAAATTTGTCTCCCATTTGCATGGAGTCTGGCTTTAAAGAACTCAGTTGTGTATAAATGGGTGAATGGTTAAGCACACTGTGAGAAGTTCATACCATGGACTACTACTCGGTAACAAAAAAGAATAAAGTATTGCTGCATGCAATGACCTGGATAAATCTCCAGAGAATTATGTGAAGTGAAAAAGGGGTTACATAATATATGTTTCTATTATATGGCATTGTAACATATACTATAATTTTGAAATGACGAAATTACAGAAATAGAGAACAGATTAGTCGTTGTCAGGGGTTAAGGAGAGGATTGGGGTGGGCAGGAAGTAGATATGGCTATAAAAAGGCAACCTGAGGGATCTTTGTCAAGATAGAATGTTTTGCATCTTGATTGTATTAATGTCAATATCCTGATTGTGATATTATACTATAGTTTATAACATGCTACTATTGGGGAAAACTGGGTAAAGAGTACATGGGATCTCTCTGTATCATTTCTTACAACTGCATGTGAACCTATTTCAACATAAAAAGTTTAATTAAAAAAGGAAAGGCCTTTTTATCTCTCTGTTTATCTCCTTATCTTGGGTCCTTGTGTGGGTGAACACTGAGATGTAAACAGCTTTTTAAATTTTTTAATTAATTAATTTATTATAAAGATGTGGGGTACAATTCAAGGTTAGGTATATAAACATTGATCATGCAGGTACCCTCCCTCCCCTAGTAGTTTCCCTCAACTGCCTGTCCCACCCCCCTTCCCTGACAGTTTTCCACTACTGCCAATTGCTTTCTTATAGCATTATAATTTTTCAAAGTCACCTTATGAGTGAGAACATATGGAACTCAGTTCTTTGTTTCTGTAATAAATCACTGAGTATGATTGACTCCAAATCCATCCAGGTTGCCGCAAAGTCCATTTATTTGTCCTTCTTTATGGCTGCATAATATTCCATTTGGTATATGTACCACATTTTTTTAATCCAGTCCAGCTTTGATGGGCAACACGGTTGGTTCTATGTTTTTGCTACTGTGAATAGAGCTGCAACAAGCATAAGTGTGCAGGTATCTTTTTTTGTGGAATAATTTGAGTTCCTCTGGGTATATTCCCAATAGGGGAATTGCTGGGTTATATGGAAGGTTAATTTCTAGTTCCTTCAGAAATCACCACACTGTCTTCCAAAGAGGTTGTACTAGTCTGCATTTCCACCAGCAATGTAGAAGCGTTCCTTTTTCTCCACATCCTCGCTAGCATCTGTTGTTGTTTGTTTTATTAATGATGGCCATTCTTATAGGGGTTAGGTGGTATCTCAGTGTGGTTTTGATTGAGGTGTAAATTTTAAGTCATATTGAAGCTGGCAGTAATTCAACAGGGCAGTTAAACTCGGCAGTTGGGTAATGGCCTATAGGAGATGGCCTGAAATCTACACCTTTTCCCACCCCACTTTAACTCACACTGCTTTTGCACTGGCCCCACCATGATACCCGAACCTCCCACCATTAACTCCACTCCTTCGGACCCTCTTTCAACAGGGTCCTGTGTTCTTTGTGGCTTGAGACAAATAATACTTTAGTTTGTTGGTTTGATTACTATTACTTGCTGTTGTCACCAGGAACACAGCAAGGATCTGAGGGGCTGAGGAAACAGGACGGATACTTTGGGTTTGAACATAAGAGAGAGCCCAGTGTTTCAGTCCTCAAAGTTTCATTCCCAAGGATCATTGGAGAGCATGTTGGTGTGCAGTATAAGGGATACCTTCTTGGCTTGTGAGGGAGAGATTGCCAAGATAGCAAAGAACAAAGCAAATATGTGTGTGTGTGTGTGTGTGTGTGTGTGTGTGTGTGTGTGTGTGTGTGTAGTGAGAGAATGTGTGTGTGCATAAACACACACAATACACACAAAGACACACAACTCTTGTTTTCTGGATGAAAACTAAGAAGTAGGAATAGAAGACAGTGATGGACTTTCGTGTTTCATTTTTTGCTTTTGTGTACCATTACAATATTCCAACCGTTTTTTCTTTCTTTTTAGGGAGTTCTTGGAAGCCAGCTGCCCTGGCTAACTGCCTTTACTTGTCCCACTGACCAGTCATTCAACTCAGGATGCCAGGGACCTGGGAGGAAGGACTAGGAACCCCTTCTCCAGGATGTTAAGGAAGGAAGGAAAGAAAGAAAATGACAGCTGGAGGCTTTTTGGGTAGGCCAGTGTGAATCACTGATTCCAGACCCGGGGCGTTGCTTTCCTCTCAGCTGCCTGGGTAAGGAAGCCAGAACAATTCTCTGCCTGGCTAGGTAGTAAAAATCCCATTTACTTTGCCAAGCAAGTCTCCCTCCTCCAGTGGGAGTGGCATCCCTGGCTGTGCCTTTGCTCCCTGGGCTGATGGTTGTGGGGAGGAGGATGTGGGCTTTGTATGGGGAGTACATCTTGGCTCTGCTTCTGGCCCTGGAGGTGGCAACTGTTAGGGCCCAGCAGCTTCACCCCCTCCAACCTCTGAGCTGAGTGAAGTGTGAGTGATAAATGTGTGTACTACTCTTTCCTAGTAATTTTTCATGTTAGCGATCATTACTTTGGCCATGGCTGGAGATGAGGAAAAAGAAAATTGAATTCCTCCTCCTTCCTGAGCACTGTTCCATCCCCAGGCTCTTGAGGGCCAGGGAGCTGGGCGCTGGGGGGTAGAGGTGAGGCAGTGGAGGGAATTATCTCAGAGTTTCACACAGCCAGAAGAAAGGAAATGAAGGTATCCAGCAAGAAACTGGCAAGGGCCTTCCACATCCTTGTACCTTTACTTGCAACATTATTGGCCCCATCTGAGCTCCAGTTTCCACTTAAGAAAGGGACAATCTGAAATACAGGCAAGTCAAGTAGGCAGACTACATGGCTGTGCATTTAGAAATATTTCACAACAGTTTAGTTACAAACTCTTCTTATCTCTGCTCAGTCAGGCAGGTCCACTAGGGCCACATCTGGAGCCAAGTTTGTGTTATTGGATATGTAGCCTGAAAGTAACAAAATTGCATTTAAACATTCTATATAATGCAGACTTCCTCCAAAACTGATTGCTCTCCTCCACCATAAGAATAAGCCTGGAGTGTGGTGAGTGATGGTGACTTTCCTGGTTGTCCTCTTAGTCTACCCTCCAACCCCAGTCAAGAGATGCCCAACAACACTGAAGACTGCCTGATGGAGAAGCAGGAGGAATGGGAAGAGGAGGAGGAGGAAGAAGTAGTCAGGTCTGAGATCTACTATTAGCAAATGCCTGTATAAGCAACCTTTATGGAAGCATTCCTCCCTTACAGCCTTCCAAACCTAGGGAGGCATCCTCTCTTCCTCCCACCCCCACCATAGTATCTCATTGGCTCTCTCTTCCCTATTCCTACCTCCTCTGCCCATAATATGAATTTGTATCAGATCTGACTTGTTTACAGATGTCGGGGGTTGAGAAAAGTCCCTGCACCACCAAATGACTTTTTCTCCAATCTAGCTCCCTTAGGAATAGCTTTGGATCTGGTGTTCCCACTTGCCCCCAGAATCCCTAGGGTGTTGTGAAGGCAGATATTCTGAAGGCACCCTGAGATGCCTGGTGGAATGGCTTCAGAGAAGCCATAACTCGGCTCTCTAGCTCATCCTCCCATGCTTCACAGGATGCCACTCCATCTGAGATGATCAGTAGGATCACATGTATTCAAATACTGACCTAATTTGTCTCTCTCATTTCTCACCCCTAAGCCCATGCATTCCTTTGCCAGGCTTTAGTGGGAGCTCTTTCAGTGAACCTCAGGAGAAGGGCTGAGGGGAAAGGGAAAGGGGAAGGAGGAAGACAAAAATGAAGGAAAAGGAAGGAGAAACAGAGACTGAGAAGAACCTTCTGGAACAATTTGTACCTGCTCGGAAATGAGGGAGTCTCACCATTCTCCATTTCTGGATCTACTGATTATGGAGATTTTCCAGGAGCCAGATGGTTAAAAGTCCTGACAGTGTTTTTGAGTCAGTTCTGAAGGTTTCAGTCAAATTTACTCTGCATGTTGTAGGCTCACTGGAATTGTTGGTTAGAGCCAGGAAGATCGGATTTCCTCCAAAAGAAATGGAGGCATTTATCTAGAACTGGGGGGAAGGGGTGTCAATCACACTGTTTGTGCTTTACCTTTTGCTGGGAGTAAGCAACTGAGTTTTGCTGGCCTGGAAATCTGTCTTGTGTCCTAAGGATGTGCCCAACTTGCTTAATAGAGGCCATTTCCATCTTGAATGCCAAGTAATGGAATATACGTTCTTTTGGGATTTACAAAAGATGGACACTTTCCAAATGCCTGACTGTGCATGAAGCTATATACCTTCCATTTTAAGAATAAAAAAAAAAAAATCTGTTGCCAAGTAGTTGTGTGTTTTTTTATAATCAATATTTTTTATTATGATATTGTGGGGTACAGTTAAGGGTTAGGTATACAAATATGCTTCATTCAGGCACCCTTGTTGATAAGTAGTTGTGTTTGTAGTCCCTCCTCCTCCTCCTCTTCCTTCCTCCTCCTCTTCTTTCCTCCTCCTTCTTTTTCTTTTTGAGTCAGGGTCTCACTGTCATCCAGGCTAGGGTGCAGTGATGTTCACAGCTCACTGCAGCCTTGATCTCCTTGGCTCAGGTGATCCTCCCACCTCCAGTCTCTCAAGTAGTTGTGACTACAGGCATATACTACCATGCCTGGCTAATTTTTTTATTTAATTTTTTTGTAGGACAAGATCTTGCTATATTGCTCAGGCTGGTCTCAAACTTCTGGGCTCAAATGATTCTCTTGCCTCAGCTTCCCAAAGTGCTGGGATTATGGGCGTGAGCCACCATACCTGGCGTCCTGTCTTCTTGTCCTGCCCACACCATGTTATGGTAACATTTTCTTCTACTGGTCTGTCATAATGACTGGTCTGTCAATGCAATGTCCACAAGTCCCACAGAACACTCACCACACAGTCACTCAACAAGGTATTCTACTCACTATCTGTGATTCACTCAGCACTGTATCAGGTACACTATGGATGACACTGGAAAACATGTAAGAAATGTGCTCAAGGGATCCTCCTGCCACAGCCTCCAGAGAAGTTAGGACATTTTTTTGGACCCATTTAAGCATAAATTGCAGACATCATTACATCTCTCCTCTAACTCAGTTCTGACTTCAGAGCCCTGACCACAAGTGCTATGAGAGTTCACTAGAAAGATCCATCAGTGCAGTCTTGGAATTATAGGATGGATTTTCTGTGGACCCTCTACTCCTGATTATTTGAAGCAATGGCAGGAAGGAGTTGGGCAAGTAATCACAAAGCATACATAAACAAGAAGTGAAACTCTATGACCTTCAAGAGTGTCTTCTCTTTGGGTAGGAGGGTAATAATACAGATTTGACTTTCTAATTAGCTTAGTCTTTGGCCAATATAAAAATTGGTCTTTCCTAGCCACCCACTGACATTCCAACTGGGCTGCATCCTCCAGAAGTTATTCTTTGATTAAAAAACATAATTGCAGAAAATGCACTAACTGGGTAAGCCACAGCAACATATCAATAATGGAGAACTAACCACAAATTCTAGACAGAAAGGAATTTTAGCAAGAAATTCTAGCCACAGGTCAGGATTAAGCATCTACAATATAAATTTAGTCCTTGCTCAGTTACATTCACCCTCCCCAAAATTAAGAAGAGAGGGCTCCGTGCACTGCCCTGCTCCAAAAAACCCAGCATATTCACCCAATGAAATTCCAGAAGCAGAAGGTTGCCTATTTTGGACAGGAGAAAGTAGGTCCTCTGCTACCAGACTGGCCAAGACCCCCTGAAGGGACCCCAACCTAGATTTCTTCTTTCTTCTTATTCTTACGTGGGTAAGCCTGATTTAGAAAGCCTGTTGGATTAGCCTGAACTGGGCAGTGTTAAATGGCCCCCATGAACACATATACTGGAAAAATCTTAACCTTTTTTTTTTTTTTTGAGTTGGGGTCTCACTGCGTGGCCCACGTTGGAGTGCAGTGGCACACTCATGGTCACCCCAGCGTCAACCTTCTGGGCTCCGTTGATCCTTCTGCCTCAGCCCTCCAAATAGCTGGAACTACAGGCGTGCACCACCACCCCCGGCTACTTTTTTTTTTTTTAATTTATTGTAGAGACGGCGGTCTCGCCAAGTTGCCTGGGCTGGTTTCGAACTCGCGGGTTCAGGCAATCCACATGCCTTGGCCTCCCAAAGTGCTGGGATTACAGGCTGAGCCACTGAGCCTGGCCATCTTAACCTTTTTAAACCCTTGATTTCTCAAAGTCATTTTAAAAAGCTAAAATCCTGCATCTGCACTCACTTCACTTTTCACACTCCCACTAGACCCTTAAAAAAATAAAAATATTGAAAATCTGCATCTCAGAGGCCAGGGTAGGGACACACACCCCTTTATGGAACCGGGCCTGGGAAAGATGCCTTACTGGGTCTTCCAGGAAGCCAGCGTTAAGTCAATCTCTCTCTCTCTCTTCACTTGTTTTAGTTTTCAGTAGACACAATCTGATCGTCAATGTCTCTGAATCCGTGTAACGCAAGCCATGTTATAACTAGGGTCCACTGCGTATACACAATCATCAGTAGGGATTTTCACCTAAAGGACAGAAAAGATTTTACAACTTTAAGAACATTCTTGCTTTTTCGGGTTGTGGCCCCAGACTGACTTAGCGAGTAAATAGTTTTTCTTAGGATTGAACAAGAACAGTTCAGAACACCATCAGAAATGATGTTCAGATTGAGGGGAGAATGCTTGCAGCCTTGCTATTTAAATTTCCTTTCTGCTCAGGCCTCTTTCTCCCCTCTTCTCCCTCCTCCCCTCATCCTGCACAATCTAAAACGCCAGAAAGCGACTTGTTTACGTTTTCTTTTTAAAGTCTGTGAGTGTCCTTCCCTGCCTGGGTAAAAGCCTCTACTGTCTCCTTAGGACTTCCCCTCCAAATCGTTCCTCACCCTCGTTAGCCCTGCAGTGATGGAGAGAACATAAGAAAGAGCATCTGGTATTTTGAACTAAGGATGCTGTGGTCGCGGGAAGATGGAGACAGAGTAAAAAGGGGGAGTTAACAGTTCCTAACCATGTAAGGAGCAAGCCCAACCCTTTTTGGACCTAGATCAGAAGACCGCGAGAGGCCTTGGAGGAGAAGAAACTTTATCTGGCTGGCTATTGCTTCAGCCAGCGGGTCTGGGGCTGCGTGCGTGTGGGCGCTTGGGGTGCAGAGCTGCCCACACGTAGCAGCCGCCCATGCACTCCAGCAGGCAAGGCGCGTCACCAGCCGGCGGTCCCCTCGGAAGCACCATGACAGACTTTTATGGTTGTCTCAAGACTTCAGAGTAAGTGGCGGGCGCAGCCGACCTGCTCCCACTAGACACCACGTAGTAGAGGGTGGCAGAGCGCTGGCCGGTTGCGCAGGGGCCTCTGTTCACTTAGGTGGGAGGCTCGTTGCGAAGAGGGGCAGCGAGGAACGACCTAGGGTGGGCAGCAGGCTCGAACTCCCGGAGTCGCGCCCAGGTGCATCTGCCGATTGGGGGCAGACGCTCCCGGAAAAGCGCGCGCAGGTGTACAAGTGCGAGCGCGTGGGAAAACGGCGATGGGGTGTCCTCTGCCCGACTACCAGGACTCGGCGGGTCAGGGCGTAGAGACAGGTCAACTCTGCGTGGGGCTGTGCGGGGCGGCTGGACGCCAGCCGCGGGGCTTCTCAGCCTTTCGGACTTCTCCTTCCCGCCAGCACCCCTACCTGGCTCCCCTGAGCCCCAGGGACCAAGGGACCGCGACGGGAAGGTAGGCGAGTTCCCAGGGCTGTTGCAGTTGATTAATTTACTTGCAAAGGCAGGAGGGAGAAAAGCACCAAAGGGGAAACTTAGCCAAGCCGCTGCGACAGACACGGAAATACCTGGTTATTCCCGGGGGTTTCCTGTTGCAGGCATCCAGATTCCCTACTTCTTGGTGCAAGGGTACCTTGTGGCACTCTTGCAGACTTGACTTTGCCAGAGTTCCTAAGAATGGCTCAGGAGTATGAGAAGGGGAAGCTGCACCAGAAGGATGTTTATATAATAGGCTAGGAGAGGGACTGGGGCAAAGCTATGGGTTCTAACTTGTATGTGGCAAGAAACCTAGCAAACGTCTTCTTAAAATAAAGCACCTCACAAACCTGCATTTTACAAGGCTTGTTTCATTGACTAGTGACACCATTAAAATAACTTTCACGGTAATAATTCCTTCAAATAACGTGGTTCAATTACATTGGAACATGGTGTTCTGGCGCCAGTAAGCAGCCAGCATGACTGAGAATAAACCATCTTGTAGGGACATAAGAGGGTCGGGCACTGGGAGCAAGAAGTGGGGGAGGGAACAGAGGAAGGCACAGAGAGGGGTGGAAAGAGAGTGGGGAATTTTGAGTAGAAAAAAATCACTTTAAATACTCCAAGTTGTCTTTTTTTTTTTTGGAGTCGGGATCTCACTGTGTCACCTAGGCTGGAGTGCAGCGGCACTTCATAGAACAAACACTCTTCTCCTCCCTGAGCTATTTCAACCTGAAATTACAGCCAGCAACCCACCTCACTCATGGCAGGTGTCCAGTAGCTAAGGGTTGTAGGGGTTCATCTGGCCCTGCAGTTCTCTCCTCCTGTGAAAACACACTATATGGACAAGGATTTGGCTGCCTCTGGCCTGCAGGCCCAAAGTGGCATTCTGTGTGATTTTAGTGGCACTCCACCTGGGGTGATAAAAGAGAGGTGATTCGGGTATGGAGGTGTGGGTAGACAGGCTACCCCTTTCTGCTTCTTTCTCCTGATTAGTACCACAGCATGCTTCCATTCTTCTGGTGGTAAGTGGGCCTAGATTCTTGAAATGTTGCTGATACCCATATAAAAATGTTCTTGGCAACTCTTTTAAAACTCCATTTCCAGGGCTCTCACCTCACTGTTGTGCCCTCAATGTATGGCCTTGAATGGATGCTGTGGAAATGACAAGGCTTACTCTGTGTGGCTCATGGTAGCACCAGCTGACAGAGAGGTTGGCAGTGAGTGCTTCAGGAGGATAAGGGATGATGATAATGGCGGCCATATTGCTGTCAGATAAGCTTCAAGCCCTTCTTCCCTGGGGCTTAGTGCTAGCTTATATTAGATTTTCCTACTTACAAGTGAACAAGGAACCTTTCTGAGAACTCCTTCATCCTAATATCTGCCTTCCATGGAGGGAATCTGGGGCAGCCTGAGTGAGGTCTTTGGGGTGGAAAAGGGGCCAGAGGGTCTATTCTTATGGCCTAAGGTGAAGAAGTCTTGACCTGAGTTCATTTAATGGTTTGTTGAATCTGGACTGAAGGAACAGAAGAAATTATAAGAGGGTATTTGAGGAGATCAAGGAGCCAGGGCTTCTACAAGTAAGTAGCATTGAGTCCCTCACAGGACCTGAAAGGGATAGGAAAATTGGTAGCCTTAAAAAATAGTGTGTACCTGTGCTGTAGCTAGCATTGAGCTGAGCCCTCTGGGAAAAACTTTTCCTTTCCCTTCCTAGAACCAAGCAAGCACAGACCCTGGTACAAATATTTGTTGAAATGATGTTGACTGAACCAAGATGCACTTGAGGAGCTTAGCTCCTAAGCGAGTAGCCAGCCCAGTAAAAAAATAGCTTTCAAGAGGTAAAGCGTGGAGGCATAAGCTCAGTAGGAGAAAATGTAAAGGAAGGTAGGAACACTTGGAAGTGAGTAGATGGAGGAACTCTTGAGTTCTCTACTCTGAGCTTTTTCCTGGGCTCCAGGGGTAGTGGGAGAAAAAGACTAGGAGGAAAATTGTGCTGCTCAAACATTCACTGCTTCCCCCATCAGCCTTGGGCACTCTTGCACCCTCCATCCTCCCAACACTCCCCCCTCCCACCAAGGGGCTTTCCTAGAATCACAACTTGGCCATATCAGCAGGGTTGCATCCTTTCAAGAAAGTCCAGTAGGCCTTGAAAGTTAAATTTGAGCAGAAACACAGGATTGGCACACAGTCTCCTCTCCAGCTCACAATTGCATTCTAGATTATATATGTAGAGATATGTGCACTTCTCATAGGAGTTGAAGATGTTTGTGATGTCTGACCAGTGGTGGAAATGGGTATGTTTGGAGCCACCCATATCCCTGTAGGCCTTGAGTCTATGCCAAGAGCCTCAGTGGTACTTTGTTTTAATCAAATGAGTTGCTAGGATGTCAGTTTTGGTATTTGAATTCTAAAGCTATAATGTAGATATAGCTTTTTCTCAAGATAACTAGTTATTAAGTTCTATTATAATTTTTATAGACATAGAATGACAGCAGGCTATAGGAGAATTATTAAGAGATCAGTGGAAGGAGGGAGAAAATAGCAGTAGCCTTGAATTCTGTGATACCATGTTGTACAAGTATAGAAGGAAATGAAGGCAAAGCCAAAGAACTTTCTTAAGCCTACAAGACTCTGTAATGGTGGGATGAGCGACAGTGTCTTCATTTTAAGGGTGAGGAAACTGGACTTCCAAGGTGTTCAGTGATTATCTTTGATTCGCACAGCTAATGGCAATTCCGATATTAGAATCTTGAGTACCCTGACTCCCAGAACAGAGCTGTCCAGCCTGGGATAGAGGAAAGATCATCCTCTGAGCAGTGCACCAAAAGCATACATCATGGGATACTGTGACCTCTCGTTGGGTCTGCTGCAGAGGTCGATTCAACCCAGGGCAAAACGGTGAACTCTAGAAACTTTGTTTTTGGCAACCCCAATCTCTCCTGTTACAAGCCATTTCCCATTTCCGCACCCTTTCCACTCAAGCTGTTCTGGGCCTGAGGCTCGCCCTTCTCTCCAAGTCTGTCTTCTCTAGGTTTTGGGCATCCTAGGCCGTGGACTTCAACCTAACACATTACTGTTCTGTGGCCCAAGGCCTAGCTCTTGGCTAACTTTCCTGTGATGATAGGTAAGTGGAAACCAATGGATTAACTCCTGACAATGTGCATTTTGACAGGACCTGGATGATTTTGTGTCACTCCAATGATTGGTGGTCACCTGGGGGACCAGATTGGTGGGTCCCTCTCAGCATGCTAGTCTGCTTCTTCTATTCTAAGAACAGGATTCAGGAAGATGAGGCTGAGAGCTTCTGCAACAAGCACCTGACACCTGACCAAGGAATAACTAATGTAAATTATGTACCAGGCTGTTCCGATTTGGCTGCAAAACTTCCTTGATGTCCCTGGAAGCAGTCTGGGTTACTATCTGAGATTAGAGGCCACAAATACTGACTTTTAATGAGCTCCAGTTGCTGGTATTCAGGGGGGCCCATGCATTCTTTCTTGGCCTTGAGTAGCCCCCTAGACCCCAGTAGAGGACATCCAACCCTGAGGTCTCTCCAGTGGCTGACAGTCTTGGAGCCATCTCCCCATCACATCTGCAACCAGTTCTCCTGAACCTGAGACCCAGCTGCATACCTAGCTGCATCCAGGGAGCAATGATGAATGTGAAGTCTGGCTCTATGACCTGCTGGGGAAGGCCAATTTAGGCTGTCAGAAAGCACCAGAAATGTGTAGTTGTTGCCTCTCAGCCTGCCAGCTCAGACCCAACTTGCACTTCTCACCATAATTAAGAGTGTTTAATGTGGTCTTTAGAGGTCCCTGTGGCACTTTGGTTCCTTCTCTCCCTCCCTTCTTCCCTGTTTTTTTCTCTCTTTTTTCTCTAGTTTTAGAAGAAAGACTATTAATTCCAGTTCCCTGGCAAGAAGCCCAGTATGGGCGTTGCTCTTGTTAACCTACATTCACCCTGTAATATCTGGCCATTGCACTTTTCATCCATGAGAACAATAGGAGAATTAGTGGGTACCCGTCGAGTGGCAGATACTCACCGGGGGGGAAGCACTGTCCCATCCTCACCCTCTGTAGGAGGTTAGGGGGAGGCTGGCTCTCAAACAATTTCTTGAATAAATACTCACTACATTTACCAGTTTATCTAAAGTGTCTTTCTTTTGACCATTTACCACAAAGCTAAAATATTTAAGTATTTGCAAAAATTCATTTAGGAGGGAATGGTTGCAAAAGCTTCTGGAGATTTCTCTGAAGGTGTAGTTGACAGGTTTCATTTGGTCTTTAGCAGCATTATAAAGAGTTGTTTCTATTTGTTATAGACAAATTTAGTTTTCTTGGGAATATATTAAAATGTGCAAAAGTATATTAGTTCATCAGGAACCAAAATTTCAGCATATTGTATGGGAATGCTTACACTAGTTTCTTTAAAAATTATTTATCTTTTAAGTTGACAAATGAATATTTGTATATATTTATGGTGTACAACATGCTATTTTGATACATGTATCCGTTGTGGAATGATGAACTCAAGCTAATTAACATATCTATCACTTCACATACTTATTTTTTGTGTACTAGTTTCTTTTGAATCCTTTGAAAGTATATTTTCTTTCTTTCTTTTTTTTTTTTTTGAGTCGGGTCTTACTTTGTCGCTCAGGTTGGAGTGCAGTGGCCTGATATCAGCTCACAGCAGCCTTGACCTCCTGGACTCAAGTGATCCTTCCACCTCAGCTTCCTGAGTACCTGCGACTACAGGCATGAGCCGCTATGCCAGGCAATTATATATATATATATATATGAATGAAGATGAAATCTCACTATGTTGCCCAAGCTGGTGTTGAACACCTGGCCTCAAGCAATCCTCCCATCTTGGCCTCCTAAAGTTCTGGGATTACAGGCATGAGCCACCATGCCTGGCCAAAAGTACTTTTTCCATTGTGTTAATTTTAGCATTTTGAGGATTCTTTCACCAATTCATTAAATAGCACAATTTTTTGTTGTTTGCTATTTCTGGAAATTAGTAGCGAAAATGTAGTAGTCAATGTGGTTGCTCCTCTCAGTTCCTAATTGATTTTCTACTTTGACATTCTTTTAGCTTTTTAAACCAATCTGCTTCTTTTTTTTGCTTTGTGATTTCATAGTTATGGTTAACGGATAACAAATTTGAGGAACAAATTACAATACATTATAGTAATCCCTTCTTGGCATCTTCACTCCTGGTCTACTGTTTTAAATGGTTTTACTCTGTCGTGGAATTTTCAATAGCTACTAAAGCCACCCATTCAATACAAATCGCTATAGACTTTATCATCCACTAGAAGAAATGAGTTTCAGTGAATTGGCTTGCTTTCAGAAGGCCAAGTTGTTAGTGAAACTTACCATATGATTACTTCAAATGTATAATATGTTCTAAACTTAACCCAGAGGCTTTCTACTGGGGGATGGGGGCAGAGTGGGGGCAATTTTGCTCCCCAGGGGACATTGGCAATGTCTGGAGACATTTTTGTTTGTCAAAACTGGGGCCTAGGTGTGCTACTGACATCTAGTGGGTAGAGGCCAGAAATGCTGCTAAATATCTAAGGATGTTTAAAGAGAGCCACCTGTCTGTCCCCAACAAAGAATTTTCCAGCCCCAAATGCCAATAATGCCAAGATTGTGAAAACCTGCCTTAAACAAGTAACCTTTATATTAAAGTAGAAGTCTAAGGAGGGCCAACCTTAAGAGTGTTTAGTTTATCACTGTCCGATAGAAGTTTCTGTGATGGTGGAAATGACCTCTATCTGTGCTGTCCAGTACGATAGCATGAGCCACACAGGCTGGCTAGCATGACTGAGGAACTGAGTGTTTAACTTTATTTTAATTAATTTAAAGTTAAATAACCACATATGGCTAGTGGCTTTCTTAGTCAACTCAACTTTAGAGATACTACAGCCTAGTGGAGCATAGTCCCTGTCCCTGGTCTGTGTGCACGGTCTACCACTTTCTAGCTTTATGGCCTTGAGTATACCATCTAAGCCTCCTGAGCCTCAGTTTCCTCATCTGTAAAATAGAAAGCGATAGTGGAATCCACTTTTCAGGATTGTGAGTATAAGATGAAATAGTGCATGAGAAATAAAGCATGTCGTAGTGTCCTGGATTAGCAAGAATTTGAGCAACGTTAGCAATTATTGTCAGTAATAATTAGTGATAGTAATTGTCATCATGTAAATGGGATGGGGCTTCTGCAGTACTCAAAAACAAGAAGTCCTGGGATATTACTTAAAGGCCACTTCAGAGGCAGAGCCCTCTCAGCCCTCACAGCATCAGTATAGGCATGCCCTTGCCCTTTTTGGTCCTTGGTTTTCTCATCTATAAAGTTGGAATAGTAAAAATGATAATCATAATAATGTTGCTTCCATAACTGTCTAAGTCACAGAATTGTTGGGATGTAGAAGAGCTTTGGAGAATACAAAGCTGTCTTTGTACCATCAGTGTGAGGCTTGTGCCATGAGTTTGCATGCCAAGGCCGCACTTTCATCCAGATTCAGAGCAGAAGTCCTGCCTTAGTAGAATTGTCTTAAATTTGGAATGAGAGTATCTGGATTGGAGGCAGCAGGAAACCAGGGGCTCCTTACGATGTAGGGTCCTGCTCTGCCAGTCAGGCCAGTAGTGTGCCAGGAGAGTCCAGGCACCACTTTAAGCATGCATCACAGTTTGGCACTTGGGGTTGGGAAACCAGAGCACTGTATGGACCAGCTTGTCTCTCAGGATTCTAATGAAGGTCCAAGGGGAAAGAAGTGAGCCCATCACCGCAGCTTGCATTGTGCCATCAAAGGCCATTCTGCCTGAGGGCTACGCCACCTCAGCAGAGTGTCTAGACCAACAGTTACACACTTACACAGGTTGAAAATATTTTGGCACCATATAGTAGAAAGTATATGGAACTTTGAAGTCAGACATAGCCTTGAATCCTTACAATGCTACTTACTAGCTGTGTGACCATGAGTGAATGCCTTAACTTTTCTGAGCCCTAGTTTCCTCATCTGCAAAATAGAGATGATTCCTACCTCACATAGTTGTTAAAATGATTAAAACAGGTAACAGGCAGGGACACATAGCTTGCCCTCAGTAAACGTGAATTCCCTTGCCACCTAAAGTTGAAAAACAAACAACCACTAACCAATGAATTAGTCAGGATCCCATTTCTGTTCCTCTGGGATGGAAAAAGGAAATGAAAGTGTCTGCTGTTGGCATGGGAAAACTGTTTAATCATTTCTTGAGAAGAGGAAAGGGGGAAGGATTTCCCTTGCTATGTCACTACCAAGTCCCAAAGAGCAGTCTGAACTGTTTAGGAACAGAGTCGGGTGAAGAAGGAAGCACAGGGGTCTGGGGTAGTGACAAGTACAGTTAATAAGAAGCATGAGCAGCCTCACCTGGACTTGGAAGTTCCACCAAAGAAGTCACTCTGCTCTTTGTGCCCAGAGGAAGCATTTCTGGAGATAGTGGGTTTCCCAGGAGTGCAGAATTTAAGTTCTAGCCATATCTGTCGCCTGATGATTTACTGGCAACTAATGGGCCAAGGGCACAGGTTGGATCCAGTTGGTTTGGCCCTCACCTTCAATGTAGGAAACCATTTTACAAACTGCTGGTCACCAGGGGCCTGCCAAAGAGAGTATGGATAACTGCAGAAAGTCTCATTCCCTTCTCCCTTCCTTCCTTCCTATTTTTTTTTTTTTTGAGTCGTATTCTCACTCTGTCACCCAGGCTGAAGTGTAGTGGCACACTCATGGCCACTGCAGCATCGACCTGCTAGGGTCAGGTGAACCTTCCACCTCAGCCTTCCAAGTAGCTGGAACTACGGGCATACACTACCATGCCCAGCTACTTTTTTTTGATTTATTGTAGTGATGAGGTCTTGCCAAATTGCCCCAGGCTGGTCTTGGATCCGTGTCATCCTTGCTGTTTTTGTTTTTTGTTTTTGAGTTGGAGTCTTACTCTGTCACCCAGACTGGAGTGCAGTGGCTGCTCCTGACCACCGTAGCCTCGACCTGCTGGGCTCCGGCGATCCTTCTGCCTCAGCCTTCCAAGTAGCTGGAACTATAGGCACACGCTATCATGCCCGGCTCATTTTGATTTATTGTAGAGATGAGGTCTCGCCAAGTTGCCCAAGTGGGTCTTGAACCCTGGGGGCTCAGGCAATCCACTCACCTCAGCCTCCCAAAGCGCTGGGATTACAGGCTGAGCCACCAAGCCTGGCTTCATCCTCTACTTTCAGGAAACCAATGAAGAGCAGGGGACACAAGTCCT